GGTAACTATTGTGATAACAATAATGATGCGAATAATGCATTTCCATTCATTTTAAAACATTATTTACCTGGAATTTTAAGTAATTATTATAATAGTGCATTGATTTATTACTGAGGCCTGGCTGGCAATTCATGTGAGGTTATGGAAAATTCATCAACATCCTTTTGACCAATCAGAAGTCAACAATGCCACAGTAAAATGCAATACTACAACAATAACCACTGTACATTCACTTGTCTTGATGTAAGCTAGTTTCTGCCATAACAAAAGCAGTGACCTTTCTTTGTGCTAAAAATATTCCTATTCTGAGTGCCGTCAAATGAAAGTTAGATATCTTAATGGGCTGGTCTCTGTATGTACTAACGCTTTGTACATTTTCGGGGGTGATGTAATTACTACTGCTACAGCTAATCTTGCAGCTGGAGCAGCAGCTAATATTCTTGATAATAATGATAATGAGATACAGTTACCTCATTTTAAAGAAATCTTACTGGTCCCTCTGCCACTCGTGTCAAGCTTCGTCCAGCCAATGGCCTGTCACAGAGGTGACGTCAGGGGAAAAGCTTTGTCTGAGAGGGGAGGAGGGAGGGAGCTGGAGTGACGGCTGCTTGATTCTGGCTGGGGGATGTGGAGTATGGAGTATTATTATTATAACTTCTGATCCTGTAGTAGAGAGGACACCTCTAGTGCTTAAGGCATGGTGCTTAGGGAGATGGAATAGATTCACAGAGCAGACATCTGGCCCTGGGAGATAACCAATGGGGGGGATGTGGGGGGGGGCATGCTCAGTGCCATTTTTGTCTCCTATTTTTCCAGCTCGTGCCCAGCATGCTCTCCGGTAGTGGGATGTGCCAGTGAGTGGAATGTGGGGGGGGGGCTTGGGGGGTGAATGAAATCACCACCCCTCCTGGTACAAAGGCAGTGTGTAACTGTGTCATTGTCTGTGCTCTTCCTCTTTTTGTCTGTTCCTGCTTCAGCCGCTGCTCACTGGCAGGGAAGCAGGCCCTGTATGACAGCGTGGTTTTGGGGGGAGGGGGTGATGTCGCCCATAAATGCGAGCGAGGGAGAGAGAGAGAGGGGACACACTCTCTGTGCCTTTTGTGAGTTTCCTTCCGTCTTTTTCTGCCTTGTGCCAACATGAACCAGAATTCATGCCAACCACTGTCAAACTTCGTCATCAGTAATTCGAAGGCGCGAGGTGTGTTTTATAAATGATGAACAGGAACTTCAGCCAAATGTCTGAAATGATGTCACTGAACCATGCACCTAACTTGGCTTTTTTGGCACGGCCTTCGAAGGCGGGTGGTGCAAGGTGACACCATTCCGTCCCCTGCTGACTGCCCACTTTTTACTCTCTAATTGGGGGGGCGTGGCTGCGCGGGACTGCAGCTCCCCGATTCGTCATACCGCCATGTCCCCGTCGGCTCCTTTCTTTGGATATGGCATTGTGTCTCGGCACGCGTCTGTCACCGGTCGCTAATCGGACACGGACCTCATTAATGCGATCTTTCAGTTGGGGCCCTTGGATTCGCCTTTCAGCGGCTCTGAAAGCCCTCGATCTGCTGTGCGTCCTCGAAGCATAGCTAAAGCCCCCCCACCCATCCCAGGAGGGGGTGCCACAGTCCCTCCATGCCAAACGGCAGCACAATGCCCCTCTTTATACAGCCGCTCCGCGTAAGCAGCTCTGGTACCCTTGGAATTCGGGTGTTGGACCAGGTCTGTGGCTGGGCCTCGGCTCATTGTCATGGAGACCCAGACTTAGCAAGATCTGCCTCTCTGCTGCTGCTCAGGACGTCCTCAGGAATCGCATTTTATGTTATTATACTTTTTTGGCTTTTCATAGCATCAAAGGCACTTTGAAGGTTTTATCTATTTGTTGTGAGTTTGATATTATACCGACGCAGAATGATGCATTTGGGGACCTGGACTGTAGCCCAGGGGCCCCAATTTTTTAATGCATCATTTTAAGCTGTCGGCAGGGGCCCAACCATGACTTAAATCCACCCCCCTCAAATTTGAGCCTGGATGCAGTCCAGATTAAATGGTGTCCTTGTGGATTATTTACAGTAAGGCCAGGTTGGGAAAAATAAACTGGCGATCCCACCCTAGCCCCAATAGTGTGACCCCCACTCAGGAACTGTACAGTTAGCCAGCAAATATGATTGTACTAATTGACTTCTGGTCCTTGAATAGTCTTATTAGGTTCTTGCATTGCTGGACGTGGCTCCTGCTCCAGTGCTGCTTACACTTGTAGCTGGACATTCACTGGAAGCTCGGCCTAACTGCACTTGCGCCCAGTCAAATCCTTGATAGCACATGTTTGCAGTGTGCTATCTGCCTCACTGTACGCCACTTTGGACAAAAGTGTCTGCTAAAAAAATCAAATGTAATGCAAAGGATTCAAACATGCAGCCTGAATGTGTCAGGAACTTATGTGTCGTTGGCTTAGTCTAAATGTGGCTTGACCTACATACTCATTCCATTTTCTTTACCACCCTAGTCTGAGAGCTTCCCCTGCCTCCATCCTTCTGCCGTTTGATCTCTTCCCAGCTTTCATTCTCCACTCTATCCTCATGTTGCCCTTCTCCTACGATCACCCCTTCGCTGTTTTCAGCGATGTTGCAGGAATGTGCAGCGTGGCTAGCCGCAGCAAGCGGAGACAGGTATGCCCTGCGACGGAGAACAGTTATTATTCTGAGTTGCAGCGCTACACAGAGCAGGGTCTGGTGTGAAGGATGAGGACAGGGCAGGCGGTCTAACTGGCTGTTTTGGAGGGAAAATGAGGGACTAATGGTTTGATGCATTTGCATATAATGTCTATCCTTCAGTCAGTAGAATCCTGTGCAATGGAGTTGGCATCTTTGCTGGACGACTGCGGAAAGGTAATCCTTCAACTCGTAGCTGTCTGTCGGGAAAGTTGCCACAAAGTTGTTCGGTTCCGAGATTACTAGAGATTTGTTTTTTTTAACGGTTGTCTGGGCGACAATGCATGAGTGACCGCTCACGTTAAACTTGCAGGATTGGGTTTAATTAGCGACAGCATGCACGATCGTGTGTGAGATATTAGGCATTTAGTGGTAATGTTTTTGTTTAAAGATATACGCGTGAAAATACATTTATTGCATTCATGCAATGAAATTTAACACAAGGTGTTTGTTCACTCTTGTGCGTGTTAATTACGTTGCAAAATCATTTTCCCCTATTGATATGATTGTGAAGATTGCCTATGCCAATACTACTAAACTTACATTTATTTTTTGCACGAGGGATTTTTACATGAATAGTGATACGTATCATTTGTTAAAGAGCTATGCATATAAGCAAAATATTCGTTTAAATTCCTGAGGGAGGGAGAGGGCGGACCTGCACTCACCCCGCAAAACACTAATATCTAAAATAACAGTTTTCAATGAAAGCACCTACCAAGCAACTGTATTGTAAACAAATAAAATGTTAGATAAAGTTTACCCGGGGAAAAATTATTGCAATGTATTTGCAGAATGTGGGCATCGACCCCACAACTTATCACATGCTAAGCGAACGCTGAGCAACGCCAATACTTAAATTTGCGTGTTTAGTAGATACATTTGTCCAAATTGACGTAAAGTTAAAATATATGATATGTGAATATGTAATCAAATGTTTATAGTACTCGGATATGAAACGCCATCCGCAGTTAACTTTACTTATGCGTTTGGGAATATCCACTGTACCTACATCGTGGAAAAAGTAACAAAAAATAATTTTCTTATCTGCCAGCAAAAGCCAACGAGACAGAACTAAAAAAAAAACTAGGCGATAGAGATGAGCTCTTTTTTGTACCAGGGCTGGCAAGAAAGTGCATGCTGGCTTGGCTTGGACCCAAACACTGTTGTGGCCGCATCTGTTTGCAAATTTAATCTCCACGTGTTAATGGCTCGACCGGAACTGAGCCCCCTTCTTTCCCCCCTTACACCGCAGTCAGAGCTCCGGTTATGCCGAGCGGGGTCTGGCCGCGCAGGGATCAGCGTTTTCCTAGCGCTTCTGGCGCCTCGTGTTTTGTTCGCGTCCCGGGACCCGCGGATCCTTCGCAGCCACGTACGCAGTTACCCGAAAACTGTTTATCGGTCGCTGCGCATCGCGGTTGTTTATCTCTGGTAAACTAAATATTTGAGTGTAAGCCCAGCAGCCTGCTCGGCGTCTACTTCTTCGACACGATCGGTTTAAGTGGACCGATGCCACCTGGAGGCAGACCTTCCCCCAGGAAGGGGCAGGTGGGTTTTCCTTGGGATACACTTATTATTAAATGTAGTGCGGCTGGATATAAGTGGTGCAGGTCGCAGTGCCGGTGTTCTGGATCACAAACGACGAGGAAGTTCACGGAGGTAGAAAAACGAGATATTCATAGAAATATTTTTGGTGAAGTTGCAGCTTGATTTTGTTGCCAGACGGCCTTGCAAAGTGACTCTACCTGAGTAGAGGTGATTCTAGGGACTCTGGGGGCCCGAGGCAAAAAACAACCCCCCCCCCCCCCCCCACGCGATATGGTAAAATTTATTACCTTTATTTTACTGTGAAGTGTAAATTAATTATACCAGCAAATAAAGTTTAATAAACATAAGACTTTTGTTTTTACTTTTGTGAAAAACAGAATACACAAATAAAGCAGATTTGTCGTTGCAATGTACTACGTAATAGGCCGCCCTCGGGGGCCCCTCTCCCAGCTCGGGGCCCCTGGCTATTGCCTGCCCTGCATGTCCTGTCGCTGCATCTCTGCACCTGAGTGTTTGACGACGTAGGGCTAACCAGAGGAAGATAAAAATCCCACGGGTTAGATAGTCAGATAATTGCAAATAATTCTGCCTGTGGGCTGAATACATACTTGCCAACTTTAGGCTGAGAAAAATAAGGAAATTTTGCCAACGGGGGGTTTATCTGGAGAAATGGTAAATGGTGAGTGCTGACTGGCACGCCGGTCCAGTCTGCGTGACGTTTCACCGGCGTCTCTGTATCTCCATCAGGACCTACATGCATCGGACGGGTCGATCGATGACGGAGCGGACATGGACGGCCTGAACAGAAACATGCCTGAGAATGGGCGTCAGACCCACCAGGTGCTGCAGGTGAGCTCCACTCCCTCCCCCCCACTCCCCCTGCCCCCCAGGGTCACATTCAGGATCAAGAGCTGGGTCTGCTGGGGAGAAATTAAGATAAAGATTAACTTAATGATCCCAGGGGGGAAATTCTTGTGTGCATCCAGCGGCCTGCAAGCAGGACACAGACACATAGAATATACGAGTAGTGCAGAACAGGCGAAATGCCAACAAGGAAATGTGCTGTTAACAAAACATATACAGTGTCCGAATAGAATGTCCTGAAGAATAAAATATTAATGCCCCAAAAATATGCAAAAGAAAACAGGGAAGTGGCAAATAGCGCTGAAGGTCAAAGGGGCTTCAAACAAAAGAGCCATTCATGCAAAATGTTACATGATGTCGGTGAAAATCACCAATTGTGTTCTTATGCTTTTTTCTACTCCGTCCCAATCGGGCCATTCGGACGTGACGTTTAGGTTTCGATTGTCGTCTGAAGCGGGGGCCGTTTGGCTGAATGCGGCGTCTGTGAGTTTGGGGGTTGCAGCCCACATCGTCCTGTAGACACATATTTGGCAGACGCTTTTATCCAAATGGACGTGAAGTTGAGGAACGTGAGTCAGATAGGTCATGGAGCAGTTGGGGGTTAAAGACCTTGCTGAGGGGACCAGTGGTGATTAGCCTGTAACCTTGGGATGCGAAACAGTGACCTTCTGATCACTGGTGCAGCAAACTAACCCACTGAGCCACATACATAATGGTATTCGATGCCATTTTTTCCCTCGCCCCAGAGTTTTTGGTGGTTCTTAGACTTCTGCCCCCAGTGGCGTTATGGTGACATCGATACATCATAGCCGAACCTCGAACTCGCGTTACATGCGGCTGCCGCAGAGTTTCACGGGAGAAAGGCGAGGAGCTGGGAGCCTGGAAAGGTCAGGGTATAAAAACAAGAAACAGTTTGGCAAACAGGAACAGAGGCAACCGAGGCAGGCAATGAGCAACGGCCGGCTAAATGTCAGGGAGGAAGAACGTCACAAATGCCACGAGGCCCAAGGATGTTCCTCAGCTAGGAAAAGGATAATGGGTGTGTGGAAAAAAGGCAGAGTCTGGCTGGCCGTAAGCTAAAGGCTGCTTTAGCAGTTAAGTACGATGCTCTGTGGATGAAGAGCTGATTGCTACTTTGGTTTTCTGATAGATCTGTATTAGGCCACTTACAGGGGTCACATTATTAAAAATAAATACCCATCTGTAGAGCCAGAGTTTTCATGGTGCAATTTGGTGTTAGCAATTCCTCCAAGATGGATGGTCCTCCCCACAAGGAAATAAACCAAAATGGTTTGATTCTTGCAGTGAAGGACGTAACTATGTTTTTAATATTGGTGGGGCGGGGGGGGGGGGGGGGGGGGGGGGGGGGGTTAGAGACAAATTCATTAAGTGGCTGAGTCAAATTCATCCTCTTACATTACCCTGTATGATCTCGTATGTATATCTATGTATAGGCGACCTGTCTGTTTCAATATTGACTGTATACATTCGTGTATGTGCATGCAACTGGTTGGATGAGAACTGTAATCTCCCAACAAATTTATTGATATTTTTATAAGCAAAATCTTGGGAAATACCGGGTTGGACAAACACCACTGTATTGAATACTGGGTGGCATGTGTCCCTCTCACAACCCCCCCCCCCAGGAGTAACACCCATGCTTGTAGTAATTATTCAATCCTGAATGTCTAAGTTTAGTATGGAGAGTGTCAGCCAAGATGATGAGTAAGGAGATCATCCCATCCGGCAGCTGGTAGCACCTGGCTTTGGGCAGAGCGTTACAGGAAAATGGCGGGGGGTGGGGGGTCTGATGTAATGAAGCATAGCCTGGGGGCATGAGGTTGGACAGCTTCATTGCAATCGATGCTGGCACGGCTGTGAATGAACGCCGCAGGACAGGCATGTTTTTCAGAGCTTTTCGGAGACTTACCCCTTCCGTCTTTTGCCGGAATCTGGAACAGTACGACTTTAAAACTGCTTTGATTGCTTTGACAGAATTGCCCCCTCAATTTCATTGGAGTTAATTAAATTCCTTAAAATAACCACCAACTGGAGAGGCTGTTGCCCTTTTCGGGGGCTCCCTGGAATTTCTGGGACTAATCAGGAAGAGTTTCCTTTCCCTCGGGAGATATTTCTGAGCAGCCGTGACAGAGAGCTGGATCTGAGGTACCACGTGGACTTCAACATTAGCGTGAAGAAATTGAAGGTGACAAGAGTGGGGATAAGACTTTCCTGGGTCACTGGATTACATTGGAACTGGGAATCAACACCTGGAGATCACCTAAGTATAACGTAATGAATCGTGTTGTGCAAGCGGCATTGACCAAAGCTGAACATCAGGAGGTACAGGGGCATCAACAACTAACCTACAGATGTTTCTCAGATTTTACTGTGGCAAAGGATGAAGCGATGAGATGCTAGGCCTCAGGAGACTTTTTTAACTCCAGAGGTGAAAAGTTCAGGTTCAGAAAGTACAAATCCAGACCAACGTTTTGTTTCAACCAACCAGTTGAGGATAAAGAGTCAAATTCACAGAGTACTCAACTGGTTGGCTGAAACAAAATCTTGGTCTGGATTTGCATATTCTGGACCTGAACTTTCCATCTCTGTATTAGTCTCAGTACCAAATTTCACCTAAGCCCGGGGGACTTTATCTTAGCATTAAATCCTCTTAGCCCATCCCTGCTTTAACTGATTGGCCTAATTTGATATGTATAATCCTGTTTTGGGAGCCTTTGGCGGGAGGTGCTGTTGATGATCTGGCTGCTACAGAAATAGAAAATATGAAGCTTCAGGGAGATTCTGGAGAGCATCCAGCTTCTAGCAGGTTCATGTCCAGACTGGCCTGTGATGGAGGTTCCCTGAGACACCGAGACCCTGTCTGTAGGTTTCTGGGTGACAGTGATTCGTTCTCCATCAAATGACAGCGATGGTGGAGATGCAGGGGTCCCCAAGTCCAACAGAGAAGGTGACAATTTGGAAACTTCAGTTTCCTTTGCTCAGCAGTGCATTTCCAAGTGGAATTTAAACCTTGAAATATCCTGAAATTATTTTGCGCATGAGTTCACATGCAAACACACAAAGCATTCCAGTGGGTTCTGCTGTTGTGACAGTTGTTTAATGATGTGTTATGGAAGGCATGTTGGTCTGGGAGCAGGATTAGGGGAAACTCAAAAGTTCCAGTAGGGGGAAAAAAAATCAATGCTAGCCAAGAGCATTTGGTCTGTATGAACACTGACTCTTAAGGACTTTGAACTGGTTCTGGCTGTTTGAAGAATGGAAGAGCCAACGCATCATTTTGAGTAATACGTCGAAAGAGTTGAGGCCGCAAGTAATGCAAGTTCTATGGAAGGACTAATACTGCAGTCATGCTGAAGAAGGAATTGGTGTTTTTCTGTAAAATTCTAAGTCAAATGTCATGAAAACCGCTATGGGTGGAAAATGCGAGAACGGCTGCACTTAAATCATGCAAGTCGCATTAAGACAGCGGAATGCTCCAGTTTGAACTCCTTTGGATCTGATTTTGAAATTTAAATATTTAATATTTGATTTACTAAACGTTAATACAAATTTTGGCATGCACTTTGTATACATTCTCTGCTCATGAACATATGATACTATTACTTAAATCTGTGCACTGGCGCATAAAGAAAAGGTTTTAAAAGTAACAGCAGACAGCAGGCTTGCTGTACATTGTATTTTGGCTCCTTTCCATTTAGAACTGAAGTAGCTCAAAATGGAATAGTGAGATTTTCGTCCTTGCCCCCACCCACCCACATAGAGCACCCCGCTGGATCTGATTGAAACTGGGAAGGGGCTGAAGTTCCAGGCAGAGCGCCCCCATCTGGTCAGCCTGGGAAGTGGCCGCCTCAGCACCGCCATCACACTCCTGCCTCTGCCAGAAGGTGAGCGCTCTTCCCACGTTGCTCCTGTTAAGCTACAGCTGGGAATCCACCCCCCCCCCTTTTTTTAAAAAACTGCTGTGTGACACATCTGACCAATGACCAGGTTTTCCCACAGGCCCAGGAAGACCTTCGGGCCCCTGGTTGTGTCTGCATGTGTCTGCCCGCCACCTACTCAAAAACTTTGAGATCGCTAAGCCATTTTGAAAATGTCGGCTGCAGGTTATTCGGTAATTAAAAGTGGTAATCTGGAGGTGACCTGCTCAGCTCCCAGACACTGCTGTGCTTTTGTACACTATATGACCAAAGGTATGTGGACACCCCATTATTTAGAGGAATCGGTTAATTAAGCCACACCCATTGTCCACACGGGTGTATAATTGAGCATACAGCCATATAATCTCTGGCAATTAACACTGGCAGCAGAATGGGTGGTCGTACAGGAGAGGTTAGCCGTACAAGCTCACAGAAAGGGACCAGGGGGGCGTTTCACAAAGCAGGATTTCTCAATAAGCTGGGTTAACTTAAGCTCAAGTCATGACTGTCCAATAGGAATACTCCTTACCTAAACTCTTATTGGACGGTCATTACCTCTATCTTATGATACACTCTGAAATGTGTATTTGCGGTTGTCATTTCTGAGCAAATAAAATAAAAATATTGGTACAAACCTGTCCACATACAAGCAGAATATTCACTGGTGTCCTCGTCGCTTTCATTACGCCGTCGGATCCTGTAGCCGAGCGCCAAGGCTTTCGTAGAACCTGAGACTCTGCTTGTGTATTTCCTGGCGTCGAAATCAGGAGCATGTAATTGTTTCGATTTCAAAGGTTTTATTGTCATTCCTATACATCAACACACAGTGCAACGTAAAGGAATATTATATTTCCTTGTGTCCTGCTGCACACTGTGACAGTACAATGACTCAAACGGAGACATAACAAGTATGTCATAGGAACGGAATTAAAATTAACAGAATCATAAAAACACAAATAATTTTTTTAAATAGTGATTTATTGTCATTGTTGACCCACCACACAACAATGAAACGCATCCTCTGCTTTTAACCCATATGTGACATAGCAGGGGGCAGCTATTATTTAGCCCCTGGGAGGCAGTGTTGGGGGGGGCAGGGACTTGCTCAGGGTACCTCAATGGCACCTTGCTGGTCAGGAATTTTAACCAGCAACCTTTTAATCCCAAACACGCTTCCCTAACCATTAAGCCATCCCTGTGTGCATTATAAATAATTAAGGAATAATCGTATTTAAAAATACAGTAAATTTAAAATGCAAATAGAAAGTGGCTTGACAGTGACAATGCAGTTTGAGTGCAGTGACGTGCTAAATGAGGGGGCTGTACATAGCACACATATAAATGTCAGTAAACCCAATTCCTGGCCACATTTCATTGTCCACGGTCCACTGGTCCTTTAGTAAGTTGTACGCATCCCTGTTGAGTCCAGCCGCTGTTGATTTAAGGAGATCGTTGGTTTCGCTGTTTCCCCGACTAAAATCAGCTATGTTGCAGCAGGTTTTGCTACTCTGTCAGTCGAGGGGGGGGGGGCGGTGTGTCCCAGCCAGGAAGTGACATCAGTGCCCTCTAAATCCTAGGCTTTGGAATGAGACGTTGGGCAGCCTGGTGCCCCTGAAGTGCACCTTTATGCCTAGCTAGCTCACGTGAATTATTCTGTGATGATATCTGCCTGAAGATTTCAGTGACGATGCCTTCAATAAACCCAAACGCACAAATTTCCCCACTGTGGGATCAATAAAGTTCTTTCTTTCTATCTATCTATCCATCCATCTATCTATCTATCTATCTATCTATC